GTTATATTGTACTCATTGCAAGATCAATGGTCACAATAAGGATGGATATTTCAGAATTATAGGCTATCCGAATTGGTTCAAGCAGTTAAGGAATCAAAATAGATCTGGAACTGTGAAGTATTCAGCAAACGTAGCTGATGCACCATTTGAAACTGATCAAGAGGTGAAACATAAGCTTCAAAAATTCAATTTGTCAGAGATGATCCAACAGGAATTGGTAAAAATGATGAAAGGAAGCGCTGGAGGTGACATGATTAATTTTGCTCATCTTGATGACTTTTCAGCTTCTGTGCTCACACCTGATGCTATTCTTACTTTCAATGCTTCAAACCTGTTAGAAGTAGGTTCTTGGATATTAGACACAGGGGCATCTAATCATATGTGCAACAACCTAAAGTTTTTTAAGAAACCCAAGCAATGCATTTCAGCCATTCCTATATATCTTCCTGATTCATCTATCAATTTTGTTCAGCACACTGGAGATATTCAAATTCATCCTACCATCACTCTGAAAGATGTTTTACATATCCCAACCTTCAAGTTTAATTTGTTGTCTGTCAGCAAATTAACGAGAACTTTAAAGATGAAACTCATTTTTTTCGATAACTACTGTCTTTTACAGGACCATCAGACTGAAGAAATCAAGGCAGTTGGTAGACTAGTCAGAAATCTCTATGTTCTGGACCGGACCTCTTTTACTTCATCAATTCTAAATAAATTCAAAACATCCATTTGTAATTCTGTCATTCCTCAGTGTGACAATTACCTCAACAAAATGGTGTGGTTGAGAGGAAGCACAGACACCTCTTGCAAGTTGCAAGAGCTCTTATGTTTCGAGCCAACATGCCTAATTTTTTTTGGGGAGAGTCTATTTTAATGGCTACTTACATTATTAACCGGTTACCTACACAAATTCTTGACTGGAAAACACCCTTTCAGATCCTCCACAACAAAATTCCTTCATATAATAACCTCAAGGTGTTTGGGTGCCTCTGCTATGCCACTAACTCTCAAACTTTCAAGGATAAGTTTTCCCCTAGAAGTTTTAAGTGTATCATGATAGGTTATAGTCATGGTAAAAAAGGTTTTAAAGTCTATGATCTTGAAAAAAGGCAGACATATATCTCTTAAGATGTTATTTTTCATGAGAATATTTTTCCCTACAAAGACAACTCCATCCCTGACCAAAATTCACCTATCCCTATTCCAGTGTTTGATCAAAACAGGTCAGAAACCAATACTGATGAAGATTCTGACCTTCCTGCTAGTCTGCTTGCTGCCACTGATGATCTCAGCAGCGGTTCTTCACCTCTTCTAGACATACCATCTGATAATTCTACTCATAATCCACCTTGCATCAAGAAGAGCACCAGAACAAAAATGACCCTTAGATGGATGCAAGATTTTGTGTCCAATCTTAGCCACACTAATCACATTCCCATCACATCTTCCCAACCTTTTGTTCCAACTTCATCATCCTTCACCCCTCATACTTTCCCTACTATACTTCACTCAACTTTAATCTTGCATATATTGATTATTTGGCTAACATTACCACTATCCAAGAGCCAACTTTATACAGGGATGCAAGCACAAGGAAAGAATGGACAGAAGCTATGAGGGCAGAACTTGACGCCTTGGAGAAAAATGCAACTTGGGAATTGGCTTCCTTGCCATCTGGTAAGAAACCAATAGGTTGTAAGTGGGGTTTTAAAGCAAAGCTTAAGGCTGATGGCACCTTGGATAGATGTAAAGCACAGTTAGTTGCGAAGGGTTTTAATCAAGTCCCTAGGATTGATTTTTTGAGAGTTTTTCT